CAAAAAGTACTTAATGAAAAAATGTTTTATTATAGTGTTTTGGAAAGCTCTCGAGATAAGCTATAAAAATATGCAATAAAATGTAGGGGGTTCCATTTAAAAAAATAAGGTTGACCTTGAAATGACCTTAAAGGACATGGTCAAGATCAAAGTCAAGGTCATCATCTTACTCCTTGCTTGAAACCATACAACTTTGCTATTGGACATTTTCTCCAAAATGCATTCTAACTAAAGATATTAGGGGGTCCGATACTTTTCGATGACCCTGTATAAGATTAAAATCTACATCGAAATATTATTAATGTTTTAAATAAATTTTAGAATATATTTACCTATATTTGACGTAAAATATAAATATACTAAAAAATATTTAGAAATATTAGAGATAGAAAATCGAAAAATAGGAAAATGTTATGAAAATTTAAAATTTGAAAATTATCAATTTTTTAAATTTAAAAATACATCAATTTTTTGCATATCCAGCAACACATTTATTTGTGATTTCTGAATATCTGTAAAATTTTATCTTCTCTACAGAAAAGAATAAATAATGCATAAGACTAGGTATATACTTTGAAAAGAGGTATTTTAAATCAGGAATGAAAATAATCAACAAAAAAGCTGAATATTAAATTCTTATGCCTTTTTTATGCTAAAAGTCATCGTATATAATATAAATCACATATTATTTTATTATAATAATTACGAATAAAAACGTAAATATTTTTTTATCCTCTTATTTCTACGATAGTGTGCATTAGACAGATTTATATAGTGCGACTAGTAATTAACGATAGTTTAAGAAACGTTTAAAAGATACAACTTTTAAAATGTAGCAAGCAGTATTTGTTTTAAGTAATGATCAGAGATTAATAAAATGTGTATTTTGTAGAATAATAATCAATTAGTTTTTAATACTAATCGGTAGCCAATGTTGTAGCACTGCCTCGCGTAGCGCGTGTAGTAAAGTTACGTACATATGTAAAGCTTTGTAAAGAAAAAAAATATACGAAAAACTTATGAACACGTTTCGTCGTCACGTTTGCATGTAAATACAGCGTGCGAAAAATATTGTAAATCTTTTGTACGTAGCCGAAACGAGTTGTATCTTTGCAGCTTTTTTCCACATGTGATATAGAAGGTAGGCTCTAATGTGTTATAACCAGACGAATATTTATGTAACATACACAAAGAAAGCAATAAAGTTATCTGTACTTGTATAACCCGAAACACCTATCAGAATTTCGTGCAACAATCAAATTTCATTACGTACGTAAAATTTGATTAACCCGCGGTAACTCGCCGCGACACTGACATGTCTGCACGCTTTTTCAAATTACATATTAGCAAACGCGAAATGTAAAAAAAATTACACATTAAATTTTTTTATCTTTTTTAAAATAATCATCGTGTTTCATCAGTGCCTAATATTGTAAATAAAAAAATATATTATAATACATAAAATATTGTGATTAATAACACAAATTTACTTCCGAATAAAAAAGATTGCTAACTGATTCGATTCGCACGTTTACGCGCGTTAATCGCTTACAATATTTTTGCTAACGAATATAACTTCCGATTACATTACATTTATCTGTACCATCGTTTTCTCTTTTTCTCGAATTCTTTTTTGTCGTTTCGCTTGCCGTAGTCGATAACGAGGCCATTCAACGTTTAAGAGCTTGCAAACATTTCCCGTCCAATCAAACGCATTGTGAATCCGAAGGTGCCATCTCACATCCCTCGCGTCTCGACATATACACGTTAAGGCAAAAGCAAATAATCGACTATTGACGTGGGCAACCACTTTGTGTAATGCATTGCGTGTCGCGCTAGTTACAATCGCCAATGCATTCGGTACAAAATTACTCCAACGAAAATTGGAAACGTCACTTTGCATCCGAGCGTATGCCTGTCAAACTTTAACGACCATTTTTACTATTTATACATTCGATCGAAGTTCATTTAAAGAGGAAACAATATGTTTCAATAATATTAATTGGAGTACCATATATTTACTTGTAGACTTACTGGTCACTTACATTTTTAATAAGTGCAAGCGAATATTAAAATACTCATTTTATTAGAGTAGAAATTAAAATTTAGTATAAATAAATACAAATAGTATGAATTTAAAAAGTTATGTAATAGACAACACGTGCGTTTCTTTTAGCATTCGTACGTGAATTATGTTAATCACAGTGGCGCATCTAATCATTGAGCAACGCGGTCAAGGCAAACGGGTATTGTCTACTACTAGTTGGTTTTTATCCTATGGATTATACTTCCTTCATCAATATTCAAGTAGTAAAAAAATGATAATTTCTACAATATTATATAATACAATATAATTTATGTAAATTTAAATAACAGCTAATCTTTTCCACTTTAAAAGTATCGTATTGTATTTTCTCTATTACATATTATAAAATGTCTTCTAGAATACAAAACATCCCAACGTTATTTTTTTTAACAAAAATAATCTTCTATTTTTTTTCGTCTTACGAAAAGCCTTACTGTCACGCTGTATTATCTTTTCATATTCTTCACACGTGGAGTGTGTAGATATTTCTTTAACACTATACTAATCGAAAGACGACATCTAAAAATTCAATCAATAATATTCGATAGAAATAATTAAAGTAGGTATATAAGTTATTCGTGGATTAACAGTTAATACAAATATCTTTCTAAGCTAGTTACATCAGATGTAATAAATAAAGATATAAGGTTTCATGTTGAAGATGAAGTTGTTCATGCCATATTATGTTACAACAACTTGTCAGAGATGCACAGTACAGATCATCTCGCGCGAGATAGAGAGAAATCTTCCATCTAAAGTTTCCTGGCACGTACGTATAAACCCCTAACAACAGACTGTCGACAGAGTCGCCCGTCAACAGCATGTCGACAACAGACGCGCATCCAACATTCTCGAGAATCATCCCAAGGATATTGTCTTTTCACTATGTCTATCTCGATACTGTCCAAGATGTACTTCCTCGTGTGCCATATCCTATCGCAATTTACTTGCATTTTTTCGCGACTTTCAGTTTACTTTGTACATCACAATGAGATAATACAATTCATAAGATTCGACTGGTCACGATATAATACAGTTCACGATGTGTGTTTCCATTAAAGACACACTGAGCCTTTATCAAAAGCTTTTATCAAAAGATTTATGACGTTTATTTTAACAGACATCTATTTTGATGTTAAAATAATTCTTTTGATGTTATGTTACTATGTGAAATATAATTACAATATTATTGCATTGTATTTTCACTTAATATATAAAAATATCTTACCATTGCAATTTTGATAAAATAATAACATTTTTTATAAACTATTATTTAAAATTAAATAAGTTTAATTATAATAAAATATAATAAATATTATATAATATAAATACTTATATAATATAATAAATATTATATAAGTTTAGATTATAAAATTAAACTGTAAGTAGCACTCTTGAATAAGAGTAGCAAATTTTCACTTTTTTTGGAGCGAAATTCACTCCGAAGGAAAGAAATCTCACTTTTTTTTTTTAAAGTGAATCTCACTCCAAAAGTGTGAAATCTCACTCCAAAAAAAGTGGAAGTGCCACTCTTATTCCATAGTGCAAATTTTTCACTCTTTTTCCATAGTGACAGTATTTTTAACTCTTTTGGAGTGAGATTTCACTCCAAGAAATTTAGAGAATAATAAAATGACTTAAATGACACGGATGCAACAGTTTCTTTCTACTGTAACAAGACTCACGGCATGAAAAAGCTTTCCATTTCCTTTTTTTCTTCTTATCACTTCATCTCTCTTCTTGTCTCATCTTGGCGGACAACAAGCGAGTACACGTTCTCTCTCTGTCATTGATCTGATGCATCCGCGCACAAATAGACATAACTCGTGTGATGCTTTACACTTGTAAACGGAAAACTGTGCACCTGTAGTGACAAACGATTTTATTCGCATATATATACGGGCCACCATTGTGTCAGCAGATTGCTTTTGTGAATTACTCGTATTGTTTCCCTAAAAAAGAGCCTAACGCATCGAATTTGGAACGGTTTTCTTGGCTCTATGTTCGCGACTAGAATTTTGTGAATGATGAATTGTTCTTAAAAGTTAAATCATTCCTTCTGCATCAAATATCACTACATATCTTCCTATAATTATTAATTAATATCAAAAAAAAACCTTATTGTAAATCATTATTTCGTATTTTCAATAGAAAGCTTGATGTCTCTTTCACATAAATATATATATATATATATGTATATGTATATATATATATATCTTTGTAGAGAAAAATATCAAATATAGGATGTTTATATAAGTTTAATTATTAATGATTAATTTGCTAATAATATATTGTTAAGGTGACCTTCATTAATACATCTTTTAAATCGTGTCAGAACTTTGCTTTTGTGAATATTATCGCCGCATTCACAGATGCAGAAACATACATCACCACCCTTACTCTTTTCATCTGTAGAATACGAATAAAATTGAATAGCGAGCGGTGCCGGAAAACATTCCAGAT